GTGTGATAAGCCTCCCAAAAGCTGCATTTTAATTTCTTGTTACTTGTTTCTCATGCTTTTTATAAGCCATTCAGTGTTTCTCACTAGCTCTCATAAGCACTTCTGATGAGATATAGTTTTCACTAAATTCACAAAAAAACCTTCTGTTGCTACTTATGGATGGGTTAAGCTTTTGTATTGTTTTCTAACTGACAGATACAGGAAAACTCAATCTCTAAGATCAACTTAAAAAACAACAAAAATTACCTGCTGCTCAAAATAAATATGCAGCAGTCACATATACAACAGATTATTTGCTGCTGTTCAAGAGATTTATTGCACTTTACATAATACACAAAAACATCAAAAAAGAACACCAAAATCCACAGAGAAAGATACACGATACCCCAGGGAAAATACAAGGAAGGCAAAGGTAGAACAGAAGATAAGACAGAAATAAAAACCAATCTCTAATATATGCAAGTACAGTAAATATTAGTGACTATCAGATGTAGAATGAAAACATTTAGAAATACTTCTGTTTTCTCAAGCTTAAAACCACAGTCTCTATATCCTGAAAAGGACAGAATAACCTACCTTTCTGTAGACCACTGTATGATTTATTTCCAATGTTAAAAACAAAGATGTTAATAGACTCTTAATTTGTGTATTCTGTGTTTTCAGCTATTAATATTAATGTAACCAACTTATGCAGCTACTGCAGGCTTAAAACTGATTTAGCTTAATTTGGTTTAAATTTAAAGTCACCTTTAAAAGGCTTCAGAATTTTATTCATGAATTACAGAACTCAGGAACACAAAAGGATGGACAGAACTGAATCATTGCCCCCCTGAACAGTGTCACCATTCGAGTGAACAGTAAAAAGAGGAAACTGTGTTTAAATATTTGAACAGAAGCCTTTTCTCAAAGACATTATTTATTTATTGTTTTTTAAATCAGACCAGACCACACACACAGTGTGTTTATTATCACACATAAACTTGCCTGCTTTAAACTTCTAAGTTGTTCTCTCCTCCATATTGCCCAGGGAACACTTTTTTAGGATGAAATTTCTTAACACAAAAAAGTTTAACAGCACAGGAGAGCATACTGACTTATTATGGAATTGTTTCTACGAGGAAAATAATGCTATATCTGGTCCAAGACCATGAATAAAAGCATAGATGCTCATACAAGCAAAGTCAGGATACAGATTTAGATGTCAAGCATTCTGAAGATTTTAAGGGGACTATTCTTGGAGCTGTTTTGTCCCCCTCCAGAGCAGATCTACCCAAATTATGTAGTTAATATGTAATTTATAGTCCCTCTTTTGCTCCTCTAACCCTCCCCTACTCCAAAGGTGCTTTCTGCTTGAAGCATAATAGGACAACAGAACCATCTCTGCGGTATCCTTCCAAAACTGCTGAAGTCTCAAGACTCAGTACTGCCATCAGAAGATGATCAGAGCAGCTACATGAACCTGACTTTCCAAAAGCATTAGACAGGTTAACAGTGCATTAGCTGCTTTGCAGTATTTGCCTAGGCATGCAAATAAGCTTACTCTTAATAAGAGAAAAGACACATTTACAAGAGAGGAGAAAGCTACCAGAGTAGCTAGAGCATTGCTTACAGTGTGGCTTATTTCACTGTATCTTATTTACCCTTTCAACTTCCAGATCCAGTCAGTTTCTCATCTCCCTCCTTCTATCATTTTTCTGTTATGTGAACACACAAAAATGAGATGGAATAGACTTCATTTCACAGCTGCCAACACCACCAAAGGGAACAACTAATTTAGTACCAGACAGTAAAGGCAGAGTGAAGGAAGTGATGAGTTTTTCAAATATGAAAAGTGCGAATGCAACTGCTAGCAAATTACCTAGCATTTAGAGGAGGGATTAAAATACCATTTAGCACTTATGCAGTCAATGAAAAAGAGTAAGATAACATTAGTACCTCCTATTTTCAGCCAAACTTGCACCTTCATCCTTCAGCTGCTTACTTTTCTTTACACAGTCTTCTAAGAGAACTTCCTTTCTTCTCTTAGTTGCATGCACCCAGTTAGCATCATCATCATCAGCCAGATCCTTGTCATCCGCAGCTTCTGCTTCAAATTGCTGAGAAGTAGCTTTTGAAACTTTCTCACCAATCTTTCTCTTCCACCCAAAAGAAGCCATCTGGAGAACTAGAGAAAGACATATTTCCAGTAGTTAGGTAATTTAACTTTTAAGTACATAAAAGAAAAAAATACACCCTCCTCATCTCGATTCTAGAACAATAATATCTAACAGACCGCCACTCCACCACACAAGTTCTGCCCATCGGCTTCACCACAGGTGTCAGTCAGGCAACTATAATTTTGAGCCCAGCTGAAAGACGTTCTCTAGCAGGAAAAGGGGAAGAAAAAAGAAAAAAAGAAGGAAAAAAAAAAAAAAAGGCGCCAGAGCTCTGACACACCAGAAAGCCTTATAACGTTGAAGCCCACACACCAGAAACCAGACGAAAGGAGAAAGGAAACGACTCGGTCCAAGGCGAGCGACGCGCCACAGGCACGGCCGCTGCCCGGCACCGCTACGGGCTGCCACGGCCACCCAGCTCCC